GCACGTACAAACGTGAGTCCAGGAACAATACATTCTGGAGTGATAAGCTCCAAAGTTTATTTACGTGCATTAATATGAATATGTAGATGCACCCAAAAGTTGCTGAATATAGTTTCTCATTTCTCACTATAATATTTCTCACCTATAAGTGTTAGAAGGTGCAGCTGTGAAAAACATTCTAAAATTATTGCTAGCCATCTTTGAGACTAGTTTTACATAGCTGTAACTAACCTCATTAAGACATGTGTATGGAATAATAGCATATTAAAGCTCATGTGGGGAAATCAGAATGCGAATGTACATATTTTCCATCAAGTTTGAAATTTCTGAAAAACAGGCAGTATAAATTAAAGCAACCCAGGAAACTTTAAATCAAATAGGGACAAATGACTGAAATTTTGGTGCTTTAAGGATGGCAAAATGTGGATCATGACAAAAGATACAGAGTTTATGTTACAATGCAGCATTTGACAATTTCACAACAGGACTTGAAAAAATTCTTTGAAACATTAGGCAAAAACACCAACCATACTTTTTAGCGCTAAACATTCACTTTCTCTGTCCTTTTTCTCTAATGTAGTACTGTGACCATTGGAAGGAAAAACCATTTTTCTATTAATGCGTAATCCTCCTCTACTGAATATATCATTAGGCAACATTGTCTCTCATATATTTTTTAATAAGTTTCTACTGACAGCAGGAACCAATCAAATGTTTGATCAGAGTGAAAGGATTATTTTCTTTTCTGCTTGTTTTTTGGTGTTACTTAAGTATTTAAAAAAAGGAATTGCCCCCCAAAATCCAACAAAGGCAAGTTAAAAAAAAAAAGAATACAAAACCCCTGAGTGAAATCCATGGTTCAAATGCTCCTTTAGCTAAACATTGTCCAGGGATTGAGACTTTTCAGAAATTCCCTGAGTAAATCTTATGTCAGCCTTTGGGCAGATACATGGGGGAACAAAGATATATGAGAAAACCAGACAACAGGCCCCTTGTGCTCAAATATTGTGATAACTAGTTATATATAGGAAAGTGGGTGGACAGGGTAGGTCCCACTGAGTTCAATCAGTATAAGCTTGATCTTGTTTATCAGATGTGGAATTATTATTTCTTAATTTCTTTTCAGACTACATATATTTGTGACTTTAAGAAATGTTTTTATATATACTTTCTTTTCCAAGGCTGCATATTCCCCACTGAGAAATTCCCCTGCTGTATTGATTACTCCACTATATTCACTCCTATGCCACTGTAACACTACCGCAAGGAATGCCTGAGGCAGATGTCATGGTTGCCATAGTGTGCTAGATTCTGCCTGCTGCAGTGGCCAATAAGGGGACACTTAACAAATTAGGGTGTTATAGTTTATGCAAAGAACTTGCTCCAGAATATGAAGTGGCACAAAGGGAAGAACTGTGTTTCACCTAGTGGATAAAAAAAGTGCAACTTGTGACAACCCTTGAGTTACCTAGCTGAACCATAGTAGTGACTCTATCACCCTTTGGATGCATAAGTACCATTATTACAGTAGCAGGATCAACCTCCAAAGGTGTAGGAATGGGAAGACATCAATGCAATGGGGTTACTTATTCCCCCAGAGTGGGTAATATAATCATTTCTAGACCTTAGGGCGTTTGTACACAACACCGCATTTAATCCTTGTTAATTTACCATGCCTGAAAAATTTTAACCTGGGTTATTGTGGTGTGGCACATTTGTGTTTGCACGCCACACTCTTTCAAGTGAGTTAAGTCTTATGTGTCATTCTCCACAGATTCCAGTAGGGGGAGGCAGAATACCAATCTACCTCCAGTAATATCTTTCCTAATGAATTACAGCAGGAGACTCATGTAAACCGGCCTCCTCTGTCCCTACCCCCTTGCCCCCGCCAGGAGTCTCCTGATAAGTCCCCCCCACCCCCCACCTGGGCATGGTCACCCCCAAACCCTGCTATTTGAACCCACCAAGGCTCAAGCTTGTCTTCCAGCATGCAACTCCATGGTGATCCTGATGACAACCTGCGTGAATCCTTCCCTCCCATCCCTTTGGCTTCACCCCATATTACAAATATATAGGTTTTCTTTTTTACTATGTAACTGATATGATAAAAGAAATGAATAAGGTTGAGAGTAGTGGGTGGGTGGGTGAGTGTTACTGCCTTGGTTGATTGGCGATTGCAGTTCATAGTGTTGGTGGGTGGGTGGCAGCAAGCTCTTGCTTTTCAGGCTGTTTTTCTGGCTTTTCTTGGATTACATTTCCCAGAATTCCCAAGCTGACAGGTCTTGGAACAGTTTTGTGGGGACGCATCAATGGTTTACATGGGGATGCTCCCCTTCCCTGCCCAGGTTCCACCATAAATCTGTTTGTATAGTGCAACATATGGCTTTTTGAGGGGTGTTGTGAAATGTTTTTGAAATGTATTTGAAATGTTGGGTTGCTGTTGGGCTTCTGGTGAAGTATTCTTGCCCCCCTCCTGGCTAACTCAGTCCCTAACCCACCCCAGCTGGCCAAAAGGGGTATAGTTAACCCTTTCACCCATGGGGGGGGACCATGATTCAGGCTGGCTAAGTGCCAGTGCATAATGCCCTGCCCCCCCAACCACTGCCAGCCTCAAAGCAGCAAACCCCTAGCCTAGTCCACATCCCCACCCTGCCCTGCCCATCCTCCTGTCCACCCCCCACCCACTACACCTCACACCCCTGCAGACAAACACAGATATAAATTGTAAAAGAATTTATTGTAACCTAACCAAAAGAAAGAAGAAAGCACTGCTAGTTGTTGCCAGCCTTTCCTTGAGGATACCTTCTCAGTCCCCGAGCTGCTGCCTGGTCATGTCTCTGTTGTCTGGCCACTGCCTGTCACGCTTCTTCAGCCCACGAGTTCCAGAAAACCTGTTCGTGGGTCTCACAGATGTTGCACAGCATGCAGGCTGCCACTACAAAGTCCATTATATTTTTTGGGTCCATCTCGAGCTGGAATGTAAGCGCCCTCCATCATCCTTTCAGTCGGCCAAATGCACATTTAATGGCCATCCTGCAACTGCTCAGATTGCTGTTAAAAACCACCTTCTGCTGGTCCATGAGGTTCCCTCCATAAGGCTTCATGAGCCAGTGCTTTAGGGGGTAGGCAGGACCCACTAATATAACTGGGGGAATGGCAACACTGCTGATCACTGTCTTTTCCACACCAGATGCTTAGTGTCCTTCTTCCACGATGCCAAGGAGAGGAGAGTTTTTGAACATGTGCACATCATGCATGCTGCTGGCCCACCTGGTAAAAGTGTTCATGAACCAGCCCCAGCGGTCCACCACAGCTTCCAGGATCATGGATGCAAATCCATGTTTGTGAAACATCTCCCTCGCCCTAAAGGGCACAGCACTGAGATATGAGTGCTGTCTAAAGCCCCCACACAGTTCAGGAACCCTTTGTCATTGAAGCCATCTATGACTTGCTGCGGATTCGCCAGGCAGGTAAATTTGTTTGCAGCGATGTCCTTTAGCAGCTGGCATATCTTCTGAGTTGCCGAACCGGACGTGAAGGGAGCCACGCTGAACTGGTTTGTGAAGTAGCGAAGGCTGGTTGGGGTGGCAAGTTTCATGATAGCCATTGCCACTCTCTTTTCCGGCGAGATGGATCAACACATGTTAGTGTCCTGCCTCACAATACGGGACTTTAGCATTGAGATGATATGATAAAACGTCTCTTGGTCATTTGGAACGTCTCCAGCCACTGCTGGTCATTCCAAGTGGTCAGCACAATTCGCTCCCACTAGTCCGAGTTGCTCTCATGGCCCCAGACTGCATGGATGCTGCTTCTGAGGTTTCTCAACAGAGCCCAGTCATCTTCCAATTCTCCGCTTGCCTCTGGGTATTCCAAGTCCTTGGGTTATCTCCATTTTCTTTTTCTGTTTCACAATGCTGTTAAAGCTTGCATACAACCTGCCAATGAATACTCTATCATCCTTCCCCAGCAGTGCAGCATGTCTTGTATTAATCTCCAGGCCAGCAGTATTTGAAGCAGCAGTACTACTGCCACAACCTCTTCCTCCTTCTCTTCCTTGTGCTAACCCACGTCCTCCAGATTCTCCATGTTGGAGGAGTCTTCAGTGTGTTGTTCTCCATTCTCCACTTCCTGTTCCTCACCCATTTCTTCCTGATTCTCCATTTGGCCCCTCGCTGTCATCAGCCGCTTCTCAGATCTCACCCGTAAATGATTACGAGTGGGGGGCCAGAGGCTCTGTCTAGCTGCATCCCATATATGATCACTGCTTTTTCAACAAGGAACCCCGGGGCATTGGGCATTTGCCCAGCCTTTGTTTGGTCCTGAGATAAGAAGCAACGTAAATTTTCTGATGCATCAAGTCTTACAAATGGAATCAAGCTTGCAAACATAAGATTTTGCCATAGTCCTCTCCTGTTAATGTAGGAGCAGGCAACTGAATACTTTTGCAAAGAAAAAATGGCCTTCATTGCGAGACTAAATAGGGGAAGACAGGCCAAAACAAGCAGGGAGGTGTGATCAATTTTTGCAACGTTCTGGGGCATTAAGCAGCAATGCCAATGGACAATGGCCTTATGTGGCCCATGCTCAAGCCCATCACCAAGTCTTTGTTGGTAAACAGGCTGCTGTGGGAGATGAAGGGTATAGGCCATTCTCTTTTGGGGTTGGATAGCTCACAAGGTAACAGATGCCAAACTAATTTTTGGCTTTAAATGTTTGCAGCTGGCAAGGGCAGTGGCAGCTGTGGATGTGGGTCTGAACTGGGCACTGGTAAGTTTTGGGCAGCACAAATGGTGCCCCACTCTTGTGGCATCTGTTTCCATGCCTACACGCATTTTCTCCACTGCAGGGTGGGGGGTGTTGGTGTGTAGTTTCCTCCTCTTGGGGGAAGGCAATGTCATGAAACCAGGAAGGCTTTTTTCATTTGTTTACCAGCTACTGCAACTGATGGTAGCCAGGAACAGACCCCAGCTCACACTGCATCAGAGCACTGCAGGGGTATGCGCCGCAGGCAACGATGCTCTGAAGAAAGCTCGCTGGAGGTTTTGGCAGAGAATTCACAAGCCAGAGTGTCACACGCAGATGCCTGGTGGGACGAACTCCGGGAGTCCCTTTGTTCTGATGATGCCATCACGGAGGAAGTGCACAACATGTGGTGGTTGGCAGACATGGCCGTGGAGTCCCATGTTGAATTTCAGAGGTCACAGGACTTTTTAAGTGATGCCATGCAGAGATGGGTGAAGCACCCATGGGTACCACCCCAGAAAGGGAAAAATCAATCCTCTTGGCTTGCCTCTGTCCAAGAGGTACCTGGGAGCATTACAGCTGAGCCTGTCCCCCCAATGCAGTGGGTTCAGAGGAGAGCTGTACAACTGCCAGCAGGGCCAGGCAGCCACCACCGTGGTTCAGGGAGCCAGGGCTAGTTCAGGGTGATGGTGGGGTGAAGGCAAAGAAGCCCAAGTAAGAGACTGCTTACATTATTGCGTTCCAAACAATAAAACCTCATGGTATCCCGGCTTTCTGCATCTGCCTCCATATCTTTGAAGGCCTGGCAAAATCCACCCTCACACTGCTGGGTGAGGAAGTGGGATTTCATTCATTCTTTGGATCCATTTATTTTTTCTGCCTGCCTGGCTGCTTTTTGCATGGGACATGAGGGGAAGGGGCTGGCAATCTCTCTTGCACAGTTACACAGGGGGGCTGCACAGTATATAGGGGGGGTGGTCCCTGGGTGGTTCGCAACACACAAGTCTAGCTGGCCTGCACACCAGCAGTTTGCCAAGGCAACATCCACTCTGCAAAGTCACTTTGGAGGCTAGCGGGTTGCTTCTGATTTGACTTCCCTCATTTTGGAGAAAGGGAGCATATTAATGTCCCCATCAAGTGTAAGTGATGTGTCACCCCTCAGAAGCCTTGCTTGCATTTTGGCAAGCCAGGAGCCAGAAACTGTCCCCTTTTTTTTGGAACACCAAAATGAGCCTGGGGGTTTGTGGGGTTCCAGACTTGCGTTGTTTGTACACAAGCTTTGGAAAAGAGACTGCAAATTTTCCCACCTTCTTTTTATGCTCTTTTCTAGCCTGGCGCCAGACTGTCTGGGTTTTTTTACACCAAATGAGGCTGCTGGGGGGGAGGGGGGGCAGGGGCTTGCCCTGGTTAGGGCTATAAATTGGAGGAGTGGTGTCTGGGGTGTGCATTTGCTATATTGATGAGAGAAGGTTGAGGTGGATGAGAGATGGCATCACACCAGAGGCAGAAGGACTCAGCCGAGTGACAATACTTGCTCCTCGGTGGGGCAGCAGTGTGAATCCAGGGTTTGAGAAGACTGCAGGCTGATGAAGTGGGCTGCAGTGGAGCTTCAAGTGCTAGATGACCGCAACTTTGCACCATGCAACTTGAAAATGGACATGGCGATGCGATGTGCTCCGCGGCACCTTTACGCATTCGTAAGTGACCCCTGACACTTGTCTGTGCCCTGAGGGGTCTGAAATGGAAACTCTTTCAGGCTGGCTGATTCTCCAGGCCCCGCATTATGCAGTGTTCAAGGGGGACCACCTCGTTCTGAGATGCTGTGGATGGGGGGATGGTGAAGTGTATGAGATGAGATACTACAGAGATGGAACAGACATCACACCAAGGCGTGTTTAGTTCTTTTATACTATTGAACAAGCAAAGATGCGGGACATTGGTACATATCACTGTGAAGGAAAAGTGAAATCTCCTCTGCTTTTTTATACAATAAACTCGAATGAGGTGTTGGTTTCTGTCCAAGGTAAGGAGCCGCTGTCAGTGCAGAGTTAGGCAGAGAGGAGACAACCACAGGACACAGGGCAGGAGGCCACTGACAACCTGTGAAGGGAAAGGTTCCCTTGGGTTGGATTCCCCCGGTGCTTCTAGTCTCACTCCAGTCTGCTCCTGGGTTCATTGTGGTGCCCCTGCACTGACTGCAGCGGAGCCAGGGCAAGGAGAGGTGAGGCCAGAACAGGGCCCCTTATCTCCAGCTGTCACAGCACTAGAGATGGGGACAGGCAAAGCAAATAGGGTGTACAACAGCATGACAGTGACAGCAGCACAATGAGTGCTCATGCAGTGCCCCACCTGTCCACTGTACAGGCTTTACATAGCAGAGGGAGTAGTACATTGCTGGCGAGGCTCCTTATGTGGTGACCACAGCTGAGACTTGCACTGGAGCCAGCCCTGGAGAACAGCTCTCCCCACAGTAAAACCAGCCCAGCCCCACACCAAAACCCAGCCCCACACATCACACACAGCTGACAAGGAGGCAGAACTGCCTGGCCAGCTCCGGGATGCTCTGCCCTTCCAGCCACCTGGAGTCCTGGCCCTGCCTCCCCTTGTCCCAGCTTTGTGGGACCATCCACAGGAGAGACCCATTGCACCTCCTGAGCATAGAGGTTCACTGTGCTGTGAGGGGCTTTTGGAGCAGGTTTGGAAAGAGTGGACAGGCCCCTGTGAAGTTTGGGACTCTCCTGTGCCTACCCATGGACCCTGAGGATAAACTCTGTGGGGGTGACCCAGTCTGATGTTTTTCTAGAGCTCTTTTCAACACCAGAGCTGAGGGTGGCTGGCTATCTGAAGCCACGGAAGGAAGCCCACAGGACCTGAACTGTGGCACGCAGCCCAATCCCCAGAAATCAGACCTACAGCTTCAGTACTCCTACAAGAGCAGCATGATTGAGAGGACCAGTGAGCTGCCCTGAGTACCAGATCCCAGAAGCAGGGCTGGCAGACTTGGGACCTTACTCTTGTGTGATTCAGACAGTGACCTCAGGTGTATGAAAACAGAGCCCTGAGCAAGACATCAAGGTTAAATGTGAGTGTCAGGGCCAGGGGCTGTGGGAGCAGGTTCTGCAGGTTCCAGAAGACAGGTGTATCAAACTCATCCTGGGCCCAGCCGGGATGTCAACTGTGGGGGGTCCTCCTGGCTGGGATCCAGGGGGCCAGCAGCAAGTGCAGTGGGGTTTCAGGCAGCAGCACAGGTGTAGGAGAGGGTGGCAGACTGGAGCTGTGTTCGGGCAGGAGTACAGGTCCATCTCCTGTTGTGTCCCCTGGTCCCCTGCTAGCTGTTCTGGGGGAACCTGGCTCTCTGCTCCATGGTGCTGTGGGCAGAGCAGCTTCATTCTGGGGTGTCTCCAGGTGATTCCTCACTTCCCATAACTGAGGTGCACACAGGACTACCAATCCTCACTGGGGCAGACAGGCTGAGCCACGTGGACATCCCTGCATCCTGAAGCTTGGTCACTGCTGACAGAGGGAACAGGGCTGTGTCCCTGACATGGCGAGGGTGTGCATGAGGTGCTCCCGGCAGCCCCAGGCCCCATGGGGCAGGTGCTGATGGGATAACGGTGCTGGCTGGCCCAGATCTGCTGGGAGGGGAAGCCAGAGGCTGCTCCACACAGGCAGCACCATGAGGGAGGCAGCTGCGGCAGCCGGAGGCTGGGGACAGTGGGGCCTCCTCATTATTGAAGCCATACCATCACAGGCACCTGGTCAGTCATACAGAGCTGGAAGAATCATACAGATCTTTTTCCTGTCCCCACTGATGTGATCTGATCAGATTTATCATCCACTGAAAGACTGTGAATTCTACCAGCAGAACAAAAGTCCTGGCAGACTTTGGTAAACTCAGGTGTCTAGTTGGAAAGGCCCTTCACAACCAGTGACTGGATGACTTGGGAGCTCATGAAGAATGGCACTTCCTCAAGGAAGCTATTCTTACTGCTCAAAAAAAGGCCAACCCCATATGCCCAAAAAGAGGGAGAGGGGCCAAGAGACCTGCCTGGCTCAATAGAGACATTAGGGAACTTCTCAAAAAGAAAAAACAAGCGTACATGCAGTAGAAAAATGGTTCGGGATCCAGAGAAGAGTATGTTCATGCAGCCAGGGTCTGCAGACATGAGACAAGGAACGCCAAGGCATCCATGGAATTCAAGCTGGCAACCAAAATTAAAGATAACAAAAAATCCTTCTATAGGTACATAGGGAGCAAGAAAAAATCAAGCTCCACTGTGGCACCGCTACTGAATATGGAGAGAAGGGTCCATATTCAGTGCAGTGCAGGCAGGAGGCAGAGCACAGCACTGGCTCTGTCTACCTCCCACAACTGGGCTGCGCTCCGTGGGGCTGGTGGAGCCGATCAGAGTGCAGCCTAGTGGTGGGAGGTGGACAGAGCCAGTGCTGTGCACCACCTCCTGCCACCAGGCTGAGTTCCATGGGGCTGGCATAGCCAATCAGAGCACAGCCCAGTGGCGGAAAGCAGACAGAGCTGGCACTGTGCTCCGATCGGCTCCACCAGCCCCATGGAGCTCAGCCCAGTAGCGGGAGATGGAGCTCTGTCCACCTCTCACTGCCGGGCTGAGCTCCCTGGGGCTGGCAGAGCCAATCAGAGCACAGCCTGATGGGAGAGGCAGGAAGAGCTGGGACTTCACTCCACCTCCCACCACCAGGCTGAGCTCCATGGAGCCTGCGCCCAGTGCTGGTTCCAGGTGGCAGCAGCAGCCTCCTACAATCCGGTGCAGATCCGGGGGCCTGCACCCCCAGGAGGAGTCTGGCACAGCCCTGCAGCCCTGGGGGTGCAGGCCCCCGGATCTGCACCGGATTGTAGGAGGCTGCTGCTGTCAGCAAATTTTGTTTTCAAGAGTTTGAGGTGCAGTATCTGAGAAACCTCTGCACCTATCTCCTTGAAACTCGGCAGGCTTCCTGCACTCAGAAGGGGCTATCATCCCTGCAATTTGCATTCAAATCAGGCAACAAACAACAACATTTTAGGCATTTTCACGATTCCCCATTATAGCCTATGGGCAAAACATGGAAACGAGTTGAAACAGTGAAACAGTTTTGATGAAATGAAACCGGACAGTGCTTCAAAAAGAAACAAAACAAAAGAATGAAACACTGTCACTTTGAAACAGCAAAATGGATGTTGAAATGAAACAATGATGTTTCACGTAGCCCTAATACCCACACACCCACAGCCCCCCACAAACCTATACCCCCACCCACAATATACAAGAGTAAGACTTCATTTTAAGCTATTGTGCAATTACCTCTATGTACACTACACAAACAAATGTGAATCAGGACAAAAATATTTTTAAAATTTAAATTAATGAATGTTGTAGATGTTCACTTTTTAGAATATATTTTGGTATTTTTCCGCTTCTGAAATGGCAAAACCCCTTGCTGAAAGGAGTTCTTGCAGGGGCAAGGGGAGGGACTTCTGGTGGCAAAGGTAAGGGATTAGGCAGGGGTTAGGGCCAGGACTTCAGGTCACAAGATGGCAACCAAGGGGCAGGGTACCTGTCAAGGGCTACCGATGTGACCCTCAACAGCTTGCCAAAACTCAGTATGTAGCCCTCCACCCAAAATAATTGTCTGCCCCTGTGCTAGACTATATGGTGAAGGGGCTGCTATGGGTAGGGGATAAGCCCAGCTGGGTGGGGAGGGTGGGGCAGAAAGTGAGGTCACAGAAATGCATTGATAGGATACCAGGCATTGGGCCAGAGAGACAGTGACCTCACAGAGGGCTGACATCAGCCTGCAGGGTAAGTTCCAGCAGCCCAGGCCAGAAGCTCAGACCTGAACAGACCTTCATGGTGGCAGGCCTTGCTGGCTGAACCTGATACAGGTGAGAGAGAATCTGATTCCTATTTCTGGCTCCCAGGGCCACCTCTCATATCTGTCCATCCCTCCTGTCCCACAGGTGCCATCCCCGAAACTCTCAGGTTTGGGCTAAGTAGTGCATTGGGCCCCTCTCTCTGCCTGGTCCCCAACCCTTCCTCGTGGTTAATGAGTTTAGGGTTGTGGCCCTTCTCAGTCACAGTCTGTAATTCAGGCCCAGGTCACAGGGCCCTACCATGGAACAACATGGTGTAACTTTGGTGTAAGAGCCAGTTGTGATCTCTGCCAAATCTCAGCCAGTTCAGGCCCCCTGGAATGTTTGGGCTCGGGACAAAATACTCAGTTGTACCCTTTTCATGGCTGGGGAGCTTTGATCCCCATACTCCCCTGCAGCTCTGTCTGTCTGTCCTGTAGGGCTGTGAGAAGCTTCGGTCCCTGATTCGATTTGGCGGAGATTAGGCCCAATTCAGTGGCCAAAGCTCTGAATCCAAATCAAACCAGAGGACCCTTTAATCTCTCCTGAATTGATTTGGAGAGTTTCAGAAAGATTCAGAGATTCGGACATATAGACAGCTTTAAATGTTTTTTTTTACATACCTCTAGGTAGCAGGGGTTCACGAGCGCTGCGATGGTTGGGTGCATGGAGTATGCCACAGAAGTGAGGGGGGGCTCCCCAGCGTGCTCAGCAGCAGACCCGGAAGTGGACCAGAAGCATTTCCGGTCCACTTCCGGGACTGCTGGGGAGCACGAAGGGGTGCCCCCCTGCACCCCACCAGCTTGGCAACTGGTGCCTCCTGGACCTGGGGGGGTCACCAGGGGTCCCCCTGTGGCCAAATGCTGAGCCGGGGAGGTGCAGGGGGGCTCCCCAGCGCGCTCCCCAACAGACCCGGAAGTGGACCAGAAGTACTATCCGAGCATGTAAAGGGCCCACCCCCCCACACTCTGGTGGGACGCTCCATGCGCCCCAGCATTGCAGCATGCATAAGCAGCCTGCTACCCCGAGGTATGTAGAAAAAACATTTAAAGCTGTGTCTATGTCCGAATTGCTGATTTACTGAATCAGCATCAAATCTTCAGGCTCGGATTTGGCTCAATCGAATCAGGGGCAGTGATCTGAATCAACTAATCGAATCACTATCCCTGATTCGGGCCAAATCCAAATTGAATAGGGCCCAATTTGCACACCCCTACTGTCCAGCTGTCACTCTGACTTGGGTGCTGCTGCACTGAAAACAAAGGGGCTCCAAGTCTCAGCCACTGGAGATCAAGCACAGACTGCTGCAGACCCAACAAGAGCTCCCCCCACCACTCTTCGGATTCCACCGAGGCCTTTCCTCCCTCTTCTAGTTCTCCCTTCCCTTCTGCTCCTGCCACTTCTCTATTCCTACATCTGTTTCTTCAGAGCAGATGAGCTGTGCCTGAAGGGATCTGGGGGGAGGCAGCAGCAAAAGGCTGGGATTCTCCTTGGGTTCCTTCCAGGGAGGGCTCTGGTGGATGGCAGAGACTCAGGGTCAGGAAGGGGAAGGTGAGCCAGGAGGAGGAGGGGTTTGAGGAAGTCAAGCATGGGGCTAGGTACCCTGTGTCTCTCTGCCTGACAAAGGCAGTGCAAGTGAGAAGGAAGGCAGTAGGGGGGACTTTTGGGGGTGTCTTTTATTGGACCAGGTGTAAAATTTGGGAGTGATGTTAGACAAGGGCACAGAAGAAGGGCATCTGGTGCCCAGAAACTTCTGTAACTAAGCAAAAAGATTGTGGCTGGGAGAAAAAAGTGACAGAAACAAATAGAAACAGAAGTGGGGAATTCTTTCCCAACTATATAGTTGGTCCAAGAAAAGATGTCCCTAAAATCACTTTGATGGTTGCATTTTGCCCAGACCATGAAGGCTACAACAATACTCCAGCTGTACTGGGAGGAAGGATATGGCTTTTATTCAAATGAGACAGACATAGCCAATCATGGGGCAGAGCATTTGATGCACAGAGACAATGGCCAGGTGGTTGCTTAGCGCAAGGTGATTGTGATCCAATTACATTCCATACTGCCAAAGAGAGGAGAGATTAAACCTGTAATTATATGGCCATGATGTCTCATCACATGATCAGTGTTTCTAATCAGCTAATTCCCCCAAGTTGAAGA